TACGTATGATGTTTCGATAGCGAAAAAATAAAGGTGACGGGGGCCAAACGCCCGCATCTCACTCGTGTATAAACGCACACGGAACTTGGGCGTGATGAAGAAAAGGGATGTGAAACCGTACACGTTATTTTTACACGACCGTCCTCTCGTCGTCCAGTCCTGCGTTATATGCGACGTACACAATAATATTTCCTGATCGATTTTCATCGATGTGACAAAACACGGTATATTGATTACGAAACGATTACTACGGCCACTACTACGTGTTTTTTACCGTTTCCGGTAAAATACCGACATTATTACGGGGAGGGGGGCGACACGAATGTTCATTTACACGGGCATCACACAGGATATAATATTATTGTTACATACGGCTACACGGCTACGGCAATGACCTAATGTCATTTATTTCGGGGTTTTATTATGATTATTATATTTTTAATCGTATTTATGCGACCGGAATTAAATCGTATCCAAAAACTGATTTCTCGTGCGGACGTTAATGTCGGAATTTCGGTAAAATGATGACGCGTCCAAAGTGAGAGCAAACAAATATATATATATATATATGTACTTAAAAACTAATATATTCGTCATTTTCTTTTTCTTCTTCTTCTTGAGTTTTACGGTTCTCCCTCTCTCGGAGGACTTACGTTCCCTCTATTATATTCGTTGAACCTATTTTCTAAAGTTATTTCCCGAGTGCATTCGTTTAAAACTTTCTTCGACTCGGCCTTCCCAAAGACGTCCAAGGGTCAATTCTCAAATCTAGTAAGCACCATGTTATACGCGTGCGCGTTTGTTGCATAAAAACGGAAAAGATGCATTGAGATGATGGTATATATATATATTTAATTTTAACACGCAATTTATTATTGATAGACATTTTTTCTATTAAATTCGAGAATCCTACCTCCACTAATTGACAATTGAAAAGATTTGTCCACGTATCCACATCCCCACTCAACGCAGGCTTAAACTCTGGACAAGGCTTGGCCACCGAAATAGTTTGCACACAAGGTGATATTGTTAACAGCAAACAAATATATTTCAATCCATCATGTTTTTCAGTGGGTCGTTCTCGGTTGAGAGTTGCACTTACTGAATACCGAAAACTGTCGATTTTCGTAACGAGCACACGCTTTGTCGTTAAAAAAAAACAGGTATATATTGAGTAGGCAACCAAAATAATAACATGTCGAACAGTAGATTCAGTGTTTTTCAGTCTCTTGTTACTACGGGTAGAGCAGAAAAAAAAAATCGCATTACATGCGCAAACCTTATAGGTACCTACCTATTATTTGGCGGTACGAAAAACTTTTGCAAAAAGAAAACGTTTGGAAATCACGGGCACGGTTAAGGTAACGAATTATTGTGAGTTGCCAAAATAAACGATTTCGATGTGTGCAGTCTCAGAATAATAGTAATGTGTTTTTCGAAATCTTGTTTAGAAAAAGAAAACCTAACGTCAAATTTCGACAATTCGTTTTATTATATTTTCTATTTTAAATTATGAACATAGAAAGGAATGTATTATTAGTTTTACTGTATGATGTGTGTTTTTTTTTTCCTGTGAAAAAATTGTCTAACATAAATTTTGCATCGAATAAGTCATTTTTTGATTCTCCTAGTAATTTTCTTAATAACTGGGGGACGAAGATATGTACGCAATAACAGTTTCTGTATAGCTATTTTCTGTATTTTTTTTTTTTTTTTTTTTTTTGTAATTCAGCGATTAATTATTGTAGGTACGTGAAATTTTTACCAAATGCTTATATTAGCGTCATTTCTAGACGTGCTACCATTTTCACAAAATTGTTTTATTTTTTGATTGATATCGTGTTTTTAATACCAAAACCGTCTATAATCGTGATACACACCTACACATAGCTATATGTATAGGTATGATCACAACTTTGTAATCCGCGAGTCGCCACTGGCAGTGATTCCCGCCTTATTTCAATCTGACTGGTAATAAATATCACTGATAGCTGAGTTTTCTCTCCGTGAAAAGCTGTGGAATAAACAGTCGTGATCATACCAATATATATTTAACCATGTATCGATCTATAATCAGAGAACGAATTTGACCTCGAAAATTCAAATTTAACAAAAAAAAATCGTTTATTATAAGCGTTCGATTCGGTTTCGAAAACATTGTCGGACAAAAGTACAAAAACAAAACCTGAACTATATCATGCACACGTTACGGCCTACGCATTACACGATTAAATACATTTTAATACATATTAGTACGTATTGTTAGATAAAAATTGAACACATATTATGTAAAATTACGTCATTATGGTAGCGGGCCGCCTAACCTAACGAAAACGCACGTCGAAAATAAATACCCACACGGCATACACTATAGTTAGTTTCGTGTAGATTTTTTTTTTTTCTTTTTCTAGATTAGTCTCACCGAGAGCACATAAAAATTACAACCACGTGCCGCCGTCACAAAGGTCGGGAATTTCTTCTTAAATCACGTCTATTGTCGGCGACCACATCATGCTTTTGTTCTTTCGCGAAGTCCGACGTACCGGTGTTGGTAGTTATTATTGTACCCGGGGATTAGAAAATTCTAGGCATTTCGAATGGCCGGTAGAAAACAAAATGGCACCGGCGCATTGCTCGCGGCGTTACATTACGTTCGGCGGCCCGAAACGCGCGCCGTCACTCATTGTTAAATTTATTTTTATCGGAAATTCGTCGAGCGTCCGCGCTATCGCGGTGCAAATAAATTGCCGACCGAACGATTTGACGACACGGTGTGATTTTACCGCGTTGTCATTACAATTATCACCGTTGTTCAATCATTTTTTTATCGATTGTCGCCGGCTACCGTATGCGGCGTACCCGACAGGCTACCGAAACGATAAATATTTCTCCGTTTGTTCGTGCGCAGTGTACACGGCTATTGCGTTCGCGAAGCCGTCTAAATGTCCCCGGTGCCGCGTACCCGATATCGAATTAATATATTTTCGCGGAAGGTGTGCGGAACGTGTGCGGATATCGAATTATTCGCTGCCGCTACACACCTGTTTGCGTAATAGTTTGAGTTAATACGACGCGCATAATAAGCCAGCGGGTCCAATGCCGGTGCCGATATTCGATGTTCGCGCGGTCACGACGTAATGCAACGATTTTAAATCGCTCGATTGTCAACGCCGCCCGGCACCGTTGGCCTAAAATTAAATTCGTGTAACGCTCGTCCGGTAAACACTGTAGCAATACCTATTGGCTGTTTAACGTTAACGCAATGACCAGAAAAAAAAAAAAAAAAAATTATAATACAAACGATAAAAACATATTTACGCATTTAAGAGTAATTTTACATTGACAGTACTGCTCGAACGGAAAAACACAATTGTTTACTTCCATCGCGTGCACATAACAACTATATTCGTATTCAATTTCGGTGTATACGACATGATAAATTAAAAAAAAAAAAAAAAAAAAAAAAAAAAAAACAAAACTATTTTAGTACTCGTGAGGGATTATTGCTTGACAACCGAATATTAATAACGGCCGCAAAAGAAATACATATTACGTTCGTTGAACGCGACAATAAAAATGGAACGCCACAAGAACAGTAGACCGCAATGATATTATATCATTACACCACTGTTATTTTCCTACGGGATGGCCGTAAAACTTATTGAAACCGATTCGGTAACGAGTTTTAAACCTTTTTTTCCGGAAAACTGCGCGTGCCGGGGGGAGGGGGGGAAATACAACAAAACGGACAATTTTGAACTCTGTCAGATTTTATGGATCACTGTTTGAGGTTTAAACGGACGTTTTTAACACTATTTCGCAGTGTACGGTAAACAGCTTGCTATCGTATATACGGCCGACGGGCGCGTGAAACGCAGTGCAATGGAGTGTCACAATATAACGACGGAAACGCGTAATCGAGAATCCGAAATTGTACTTGCGGTTCGTGTCCCGAACGAAAGCGAAAATTGAACCGTTCGGCGCGGCCGGAAAATTTCTAAAACCGATTCGAACAATTGTTTGTCGTGCCGAACCGGACGATTCACGGCGGTGTCCCCGTTCAACGATGCCGCGCAGTCGGATTCGAACACGTACACGCGCGACTGAACCGCCGAACGTTCGAAACGGAGTATTGCGACGGGTTACCGGCACGCGGGTCGGCATGCGGCGAGAACGTGGAAAACCGTCGGCGAATCGACGGGACCGCGCGTATTCCGCGGCGGACGACCGCGCCGGGTTCGGGGCCGCGCGCTGCGATTAACCGCGCGCCGCCCGGGGGTGTCGCGCGTCCCGGCGTTCACCGCGGCCGGGCCGTCGTCCGGTCGCGGGTCGACGCGGGAAACCGTACGCTTTTGCGCGACAATAACCAGGCGGGAAAACATCCGTTTTCGTTAAAAACCCGAGCCGCGGCAATGTCGCGTTGTTATTGTCCGTGGACGTGCGGCCGCGCCGGTCGTTTACGCCACGACGGCGGCAGAAAGCGTAATTTCGAACGCGAGCTTATCGCGGCCGGCCGACCGATCCGTCATTTATGGCCGACCACGCGCCGTCCGGGTCTCGCCCGAATCGAGATCGCCGTTCCCGTCCGCGTCCCGCGCGGACGGTTCGGCCGGGGCGTGCGCGCCGCCCCCGTTCCCGGGAAAACGGGCGCGATGGCGAAACGAAATCGTCTTTTTTCTTTTAGAGGGAGGGGGGTAAAAATCGGGTACGCGTTTCGCGACATTGCGAGTTATACGCGTTTTTAAATTCTGAGCGTAATTATTATTATTTTTGTTTTTTTTTTTTTTAATCTTATCGAAAAATAACGAGATACCGTTCTCGTCGCGTTTTGGATCTTTTGATTTTTTCGAGATTCCAAGGAGTTTTCACGATAGTTGCAAACTGTCAAATTTTCGGGAAATATTTACTGAATCCCGAGTTACGATAGTTGCGGCAACAAGGGAACAACATATTGGCAAAGGCCTTTGCTCAAAATCGTTATTTGTTAGCAGTGATTAATTGTTGCGTACATAAATTAAATTACTCATGTATCCCCTATTCTACTCTTTAAACTCCCCCGGTGTTGTACCCATTAGCAACATTAGATTTTTTTTTTTTTTTATTTTAATTTTTATATTGATTATTTTTATACTTATTTTTACTGCTTTACTACCGTTTTCAGTTTTCATTTACTGTAAAATAATTAAATGTTAAATTTTTCTCAGTATTTACAGTATATTTCATACAAAATATTACACGAAACATTAAATACCACTGTTAATAAATTTACGACGTCGTAAAAGTTGGACAATACAAAACTAGCAGAACAGACTTTTTCAACGAAATCATTAAAATGTGCAAACAGTCATATTTGGTGTATTGGACGAATTCTACAAGCCGTCAAAATCGAATACTAATTGATTGTACGAACGTGCATCCAAACGGATTAAAATTTCTGAAAAATACCGGAAAAAAAAACTTCTGAAGAAACTGTTCTATTATTTTCAACAAATTAAAAAACATTGTAGAAAATTTACTTCTTTTTAATTATTTATGAGGTTTTTTTTTTTTTTTACACATATGCAGTTTTTGTACACAAAATTAACAGTAAATTGTTTCTAATATTTTTTTCGATTTTAGTTTTTTTTTTTAAAAAAACTGATAATATTCCCGATTTTTACATCTCTAGTTTCCCGCAAAGTATTCCTAATTGAGACATAATATCTGGAATTGAGAATTATCCATACGCGAACGATGATTCGTGCTTAACCCGATCAATGAAATTACGGATTCGGCTGCGGTATACTGCACTATTAAATGTTATATTATTATATGATATTATAATCCCGGCTATGTCTGGAGGGTGGCTTTGTTCGTATGCGAGACTCAGGAAATAAGTAAAAGAGAATGGATAATAATATGTCAGAGGGATTCAGAGAAATATATGCTCACTAAAGAAATTTAACCGTCTGGGTGGAGGGTGCATTTGTACCGGGTGGTTTGATTTTAACCCTCCCCTGCCGAATAATGTGGGCCCGCTCCGATTGGGTGGCTGTGTGGGGAACTAAAAGCCCGACCAAGCAAACGGGACGAAAATACGATCGCGTTGCCAGCGCAATTATAAACAGTATTATTACGTGAGTGGGTCATCGGCGAGCAATCATTTTTTTTTTTTCCAAATTTCGCGAATAAATTCTAGGGAAGAATTACGGCTATCGCGGTTGCCGATAGGACGCCGATGGCCGCGGAAACCTCGGACCGGGAAAACTTCCGTAGTGTACACACCTGCGAACGGACGGACGTGGACACACGTGGGCACCGCAGTTTATGCGGAGAACGAGCGGTTTTCCTTTTATCGATTTTCGGGCGGACGGACAGCCCGCGTGTGTGTACACGCATACCTGTATATATTATTATATAGAGACCGTATAACAGTGGGACTAACGTGCGTATATATATACGGGGTATTAATTCCGGAGCGACCAGAAAAGGTATCCCTTTTCGCGGTGGAGGTGGTATTTGATTAAGTGCTCGAAACTCGCAAACACACAGGTAGGGTGTATGAGGTTTACGTGGCGACGAAAACGTCCGTTTTTCATAAAACATAAGTCCGCGCCCGCTCCGTCGACTCATTAAACCGACGGCATTATGATTATTCAACAAATAAAAATACGGATTAATTACGATCGCTTACGTTACAATATTATGAATATAGTCCGGGGATGGCCGAACTCTTTCCGATATTGGTCTACTAAGACATCCACAAACCGATGTACCGGGTCATCCGTTTAAGTGTGTAAATTCGTTATCTCGGAACGCGTAAACTTTTTCCGGAATTTCGTTTCTAGAATGTTTAAAAAATAAGCTGCTCTACGATTTCATAAATATGTTATTTTCGATCACCATTTTTTTGGGAGTAAAACTACTGTCTATTTTTTTATTGTCGAAAAGCAACCTATATTAATACGTCCGTAAATAGATAGAGTATTAGTCAAAATACATTTTAGAAGTAAAATTTTTGAACTCTGTCAAGATTTCTGGGATATTCAACTTTTATGTTACGGTTGGAGGAGAGTAGCGGTGCATTATTAATATGCCGCGTACCGTACCGCTACACAAATGATACTTCACTACGCTCTGACAAAATTAAATGTTAAAAAATATTAAAACTATGTTGTTTTTCGTAATTTTCAATGTGGTTCGTTATTTTAAAATCAAAAGTGGGTTTACATACGAAAATAAGGGCGACAAAAAATAACAGAAGTTTAATTATTTTTAGAGCAGCTTATTTCATATATGTTCTAGAAAACAAAATCCGGAAAAAGTTGATACTTTCTGAGATAATGAGTGTATCCGCATGAATAGATCACCTAGTATACATATTAATTACCTTAAACGTATTAATAACACACGTACAATCATGTATAATAAAATTAAATCAAAACGCGTGATTAAAGATCACGCATTTATTAACACTCTTTTATTAAATTAATATTATAAACTGAATATACCGGAATTAAAATTGGCGGCTTAAATACAGCCAAAATGACGTATTACTTGATAAACTAAAAGCGAATGATCTAATCATATTCAAATTATCGCTGCTTTCGATCTATCTACTAATTAATCGTATAAAAATAAATTCTAAAAAAGATGAAATCGTCCGCGATTTATTAAATATTATAAGATTCCGTACTAGTCTTTTATCACTATTACGATCGAAACAGTATAAAACTACTGTAGTTATCGAACGAAAATTATAAGATACCATATAAGGAACCATTTGTTCCCGCATTTAAAAATAAAAGTCCAAAAATCAATAGCCGACGACTGGAAAACTTATGACGATAATGGTTAGAGGTAACTTATGAACACTACAAATATGTTTACTCAATACTTTCTCATAAACATGATACGAACAACGAAATAATATGAAGACAAATAAAACGTGACCCCCAAAAAAAAAAAAAATTGTTAACTTCCGGAAACCGGGATTTGACGCATTGACAACATTTTATTAAGTTTGGTAAATGAAAGTACTACCAGAAGAGACGAACGTAACACATTTTAATATTCTTAATTTTTTTTTTTATACGGGGCACTATGATTTCGTGTCCTTTGTGTATACAGAATATCCTAAAAAGTTATACGAATAATAATAATGATAATATCTCTATCAATATTTAGAGTGAAGAGAAAAAACTTATGGTTCTACGAACAAATTTAGTTTTATTATTCTTGGTTTTTTTATTTATCCGTGGACAACTTTTCTACAAATAATTTTACTCCGATTTACGATAAAACAACTTTTTCTGAAAGGAAATTTGACTGGGGAGGTTCTCAATGAGGCCATTTTTTGATTTTCTCAGGAGTTTTTTCAAATATATTGGATAAACCGGGAAAAAACACGAGAAAAACGCAGAAAAAACGAAAAAAACAGGTACAACATTAAATAAATAATATGAAAGAAAGTATATAATGCCTATTTAGTTATTTTTACCATAATATGACGTACAAATTATTTACAAGGTAACACTACCAACTGAACTCCACTCAGAATCGTTTATTCGTTAGCAATGGTTTATCGTTGCTTACAAATACACATTAGATTATCGTCTGTATTCTACCTTTCCAACTTCCCACCAACAACAGTTGCCCACCTACGTTCGAAGTATGTCTGTCCTTTTTTTTTTCAATCAGGTCTCGTATCAATTGGTCACAAATATAGAGATGAATTTAATTTTTATTTTCATTTATACGTTACGACCGTTACGTGATAAAGAATCACAATCAGCACGGTCATTTCTTACATTCTATTGAATATAGTTTTAACGCCTTTTTCCTATACAAAAAATTTGTTATAAGTAAGAAACTATTAATCGGATAAGAAAATATGATATTGCATTCAAATAGTTAGAATAATATGGTTTTCAAAATGGTTATTTCTAAAATTTTAAAAAATGAAAAAATAAAAAGCATTTTTTCCAGTGATTAAGGGACGAAAATGATAATTTAATTTTCCTTTATATTTGTATGCCTCTGACAACCAACCCGATTCAAAAAAAGAAAAAAAAAAAATTAAATAATTAACATTAAAAAAGATATTAGTATTCGGAAAGCATTCTGTATAGGACACCCTGTGTAGCTGTTATATTTTTTTTTTTTCGTGTCTTTGGCTCCGCTCGGATCAGACAATAATTATTATTCGCCACGAGATACATAACTGCAATTCCCGAAAACCGCTCACTCGACAAAATGCAATTATTATTATCACGGCGTTCGTGTCATTTTTCGGAAACGCTTATACAATAATAATAAACATGTCATTATTTTGTCGGCGTGGTTTTTTTTTAACAGGTGACGCAATGTTTTTCGTAAATTTAAAACCAAAAAAAAACGCAATAATACGAACAGAAGCGTACTTTTCTTTCCTAGGGTGTCGAAGGGTGTTAACTCAAAACCAACTCCGCTAAAAATCCATTTCGAGAACCCACGGGATAGTGTCTATATGCGGCTTATTTAATTGGCATATGACAAAACGATGAGAAAATAAAATTAATTTCGATCGTCGTTGCGTCGTTTCGGCAAATGATCGCGCGCAGACTGCAGGTCCACGTTACACCGTCTCCGATGACCGGATGATTTACGCGGCACTCGTAAAATGTCGTTGCTGACTTTGCCGCCAAAAGAATCAAATATGTAATGGATATAAATTACCGACCGATCGTCGGCGCGGACGGTTAAATTATTACTCGATCGAAAGATGTTCCGTCCGATCGTACGCCGATTATTACAACGGTATTATAGTGACAGCGATTTGGCGGTTACGAAATCGAAATAAGTACCCGTAATACTTGTTATTATGAATGCGAAACGGAACAGCGACGGAACAAACGAATATTTATTTCCAGTCGGTTGATTTTCCGCCGTTTAGATGTCGAAATTAAAAAAAAAAATCGAAAATATTATGTAGGAATTGTAGAACGGATTGATGTTCCACAATCTGCAATCTGACATAATCTCCTCTTCAGCGTTTCGTTTAATTTGACATTTTAAAAAGTTTGAAATTACTCGCAGACTTAATTTACCTACGGTCTTGTTAGTTTCGCCTTTTCGCGTATGTATTTTCAAACTTTATCATTTCTAAGTTTTTCGTTTCCAAAGTTTATTCTTTCCGAGTTTCGCAATGCGCCACCGCGAATCCATTGAAAACAAAAAATAAAAATCA